GAAAAATTGCAGCCCGCAATGTGATGACGACACAATAAATAATTGCTCGTTTACATTAATTAAATTATTTGTTTTTCTTCTCCAGAACCTATCAACACTTAACAGTAAGTCATTTAACAGCTTAGCTGATAAAAAGTTTTCTCCTTATAATTTTCGGTAAATATTTTGGATTAGTTATTTAATAAAATCTTACATTATATTTTTTGAGACACCATCAAGTGTTGACACTAAACACTGGACATTTTCACATTTACTTTATTTTCTTATATACTTTACAGTCTTTAAACTAATTGTTCCAATTGCCAATACGCATTTTAGGCTGGTGCCCCTAAATTAGTTTAAAGATTGTAAAGTACATAAGAAAATAAAGTGGATGTGAAAATGTGCAGTGTCTAGTGTCAACACTTGATGGGGTCTCAAAAAATATAACATGGTTCCTTATTGGTTTACTGGTTCCTTTATAAGTGTTGAAACCATGCCATCCTTTGGGCAAGCATGGTTTCAACACAGAATATCTTATATATCATTATAGATATATTTTTAAGATGTACAAAATATTCATGTGAACAAAAATTAAAGAAAACTCTTTATATATCATCCACTACGTTTTTAATAACTTTATTTAGCTTTTTTAAATCATAGATACCTATCCTAGTAGGCTTTATTTTCTGTTGTGTGAATTTTCTCAAAATTGTCGCAGTTTGAGGAAAAAATATTATGGTAAGCTTATATATAACGCGCCCATCTGTATGGATTAGAACAACTTTCCATGTTTGATACTTAAAAAAAATTCTTAGAAATGCTGGTAAATACAAAGGATTTCATGTTGGATTCTATTGCTTGTATAAGTAGCATTTTTACTTTCCCGGCTGTTACATATAGAGGGAAAGTAACCCTTCCCAAGATTTTTACATTTTTGGACTGAGGGACTTTGAAACATCAAGAAATGCAAAAAAAAAAAAAAAAAAAAGTCTCTCTCCCAGTATGTCCGGGGAGAGTACGATTTTGTTCACCCAGTTTGAAGCTTAATGCCTTTGTTGAAAATTTCTGAAACTTTGCAAGGAGGTTTGTATATTGCTTATTGAGGATTAATGCTATTAAATTTTAGTGATAATGGTCAAGGAGATAGAGGGGGAGGGTCATGTATAATATCTCGAATGGGTCGGACTTAATGAAGATTTTATTCTTTATTAGCATTTACAACTTCTTTTATATAACTCATCTCTACTCTGAAAATTAATCCTTTTGCCAAGTTATGGTAATTAATATAAAAAGTTTTGATTAAAATCTCGTAACAGATGGCGCCACACAACTCTTGCCAGGAAAGTTACGCGACTGGTCCCTGGATTTCTAAAATTTCCTAATGCTTTTAGTCGGTCATATTGTAATTCGATATCGGAGAAAGGATCGTGAAACCTCTCAATATGCTCGTTCTTATATTTTCCCGAACTTTGACCTAGATAGAAAAATAACAAAAAAGAGGTAAAGGTCTAAAACTTTTTTCACAGCAAGCCAGATAACTGAGAGAATGACGGAGGGCGGGTCGCATAACCATTTTGTTCAATACAGTACACTGAATACACAAAAAATAAACACAGTCGACATATTTATTTCCAATACACAAACTGCAGCAAGCTCGTAATATCTTTTCTTAAAAACTTCATTCCAGATACTTACACCAAAAGCGCTCCGATATCCAGTCGCAAAAGTTGCTGAATTTTTTATTTCACTGATTTATTAAAAATTATATTACTATCAGATGCAAAAATCAGATTTTAAGTAAAAATGCCAATACTGATCCAATTATTTTAAATTTTTCTACATAGTTTATCTACAGTATATGATATTTCCATACAAATAAATGTATTTTAGTTCATTTGCGGCACAGTGCGGCGGCGGGCCGGATAAACTTACCTCGCGGGGTTGTAGTTTGTGACCCCTGATCTAGGTTAATAGATTTTAAATACGGTAATTCAATGAGTTATGCATTTTGTATTATTTTTTAATTCTTCCAAAATGAGGGTTAAATTCCCAACTCGCGTAGTCGCGGGTCACTTGGCTTTTATAAAAAGGGGTCGCCACTCGAAAAAGGTTGGGAACCGTTGGTCTAGTAGGTACATTACTTTTCACAAGGTTCTTTTCACTATGCCCCTTTCATACTTCTTAAGCATTCCTACAATTATACTTTTTCTGTAACCCAGGGTCCGGGCCACCCGTAATACTCTATCAATCTCCTTCACCCTGTCACTGACTAGGTCACAATATAAATAAGCTCTCCTTATTAATGCTTGGAAGGCTGCCAGCTTATACCGGTATGGATCCATGGCTTGGGAGCGTATATACAAAACACACCCCATTGTATATACCCTCCCAACTTTTGTATATCCAGGCTTTTTGTATATCCAACTTTTGTATATCCAGGACTTTTCATTAATTACTAAAATAAGAATCAGATTAAGTGATCGGAGTATTGACCATCTTTGCTTTTTAAATCTTAATACAAAATATTATTGTAAATTTTTATATGTTTTATTTAAAAAACAAAAATTACTTAAGTTAGAAGTTTGATCTAAGTTCATTTTTTTTTTAATTTTCAACTCAATTCAAAGCATTTTTTTTATTTTGTTGTTGTTGTAAGCAGTTTCCAGCAAAATTTAATAAATTTTTTCTATTTGTGAAAATTTCTACATAATTCAAAGTTAATTTTTAATACTGTATATATGTTACACAGCAATATTAATAAGATTTTGAAGGTTGCAGAACGTATTAAATTATTTTAAAAATGAAAAAATTATATCATTTTATTTCAAAATATTTTGTATATCTTAAAAATAATTAATTTTGTCCCGGGATTTTCAGGGATCCCAGGAAACAGTTCACTTTTTTCCTGAAATCCTGGGACAAGCAAAAGACTGAAATGAGAAACCCTAGTTTCTATTATATCTGATTTAAATTTTTAAATATGCTTTTCTGTTCTTGCATATAGTAATAACAAAAACTCTATAAAAACAAAACAGAATGGAAACAAAGACATTTATTTGCCTGAAGGTATGTGGCCTTTTACAATAAATAATTATTTTATTATTATCTGCCATAATATTATTTTTGTGGCAGATAAATTACAGTTGGTAACAAATATATATATATATTTGTTTCCTTATCATCATAATTTTTTAGGAGGATTTATGATCTGTTTTCCTGTTTTGTATCCAAGTATTAAAGTTAATAAAATGCATTCTAATATAAAACCCATATATTGTTTGTAACTCTTCTTATTGGGTCTTTACCTAAGACTAAAAAAACTTTTTATTTAGGCTAACATTTTTGAGAAGAAATCACATCTTTGGAATCACCATGCTAAAAAGGTAAAGTAAAATAAAAACAAAGTTTCAGTTAAAGATCAAATGAAGAAGTGTTGAAAATAAAAATTACTGAAGAAATTCCTCAATGTTTCTTTTACTCAACTATTTTAGCATAATGAATTTTTGTTGAAAATGAATGTCTTCACAAAAGTGCTATTTTTTAAATTTTTTTTACTAGATGAAGATCCAGTCAATCTTATTTGTAGGAATATTTGTTAAAGTTATGATTAAAAGCAAAGAAAGAGATCGGCAAAGTCGAACAGAAGTATTATTGTGTGCAAAGTAAGGATTTTGCTATTTAAAGTACAGATTTTAACCAAAGGATAATTAAAATTACATATTTATTCACATTATTAACTATAATACATTGATAGTTTAATTTTAAGATATATCTATCAAGCAAATCATTCACAATACAAAGTTTAGCAAAAGAAGATGCAAAGTTAAAAAATATGTATATATATATATATCAGCATCTGATCATCTAATGAATATTAAATATTTGTTCAGAATTACTGGTTTTATGTTTTCTCTGGATGGAAGATAGTTTCATTCTGTTTTAATTTCATAAAACATTCTACTTGAAACTAAAACAGTATCTAATAGCTTTAATTTAAAAACAAAAAACATACTGGTAATTTAAAATAATTGATATAAAAAGAAATTATTAAAAACTTTGTGAAAACAGAAAGAAATTATTAATTTTATACAAACTACAATGCAGAGATAGTAAAGAATTACCATATGTACAGTACACAGGATAAGTCATATATCCATTTATCTTAATTCTTGATGTCAAACGTTTCTTACAGAAATTCAAATAAAAGAATAGTATTTTATTTAAAATAATTTGTGTAAAAACAATTTGTTATTAATATTATGAAATGTTTTCTTCATAATATGAAACAAAGTTAATTCTTGCATTTACATTCAATACTGGAACATACCAGCATCATATGTGATGACCTTTAAAGACAATATTATGAATGAATAAATGGAATTTGAATATAAATAAGAAATTAAATTTTCAGTAAATACTCAATATTATTTCATATAATTTTACATTTAATAAACTAGCAAGTAATGTCACATCATTGACAATGATATAATAAAAAGAAATATTAATCTGAAGATTTTGAATGTCAGTGACATGCTTAGTTTCTTCAGTTTGTAATATCTGTAACAATTTAAACTTCTATTATCTATATTGTATCACTGCTTGAAAATATCCAATAAATTTTGCACTCTGTTCTCTACAAGTTTTTTAAAATTTACAATTAAAGGTAACAGACAAAAATGCTAAATATAAATGAAAATGGAATGTATAAAACCAATGCAAATTGAAACAATATACTAAAAAATTGATAAGAACAATACTGAAAACTAGAAAGTCTTGAATATACTGTATTTCAAAAAACTGGATACTTAATTATATAACACTCACCAAATAAACCATTACCAGTTCATAACCAAACAGAAAAATTCTTTCTACAAACGTTTTCATCTATATGTAATAGACATCTTGGGTATTGACGATATCGAACTAACGGCTAGTAGAATAGAATGTTTTTGAAAGTTCCGTTTAACTACATATTGTCAATACCTGAGGATGTCTATTACATATAGATGAAAATGTTCGTAGAAAGAATTTTTTTGTTTGGTTATGAACTGGTAATGGTTTATTTGGTGAGTGTTATAGAAAGTCTTGTAACCTTTCTTCATAAATCTAAAAGCAAAATTTCAGTATAACTTAATCTTAGTATTACACTGCAAAATTTTATTAAATTATTGTAACCTTATCAGATATTGTATATCATAATGGTTTACTACATAGGCATACTGCTAATATTCTTGTATTTGAATTTCTTTAGAAGCTGTTTGATGTTTAAAAGTTTATTTATCCTATATATAATGTATATCTGAACAATATATATTATGGATTAAGACATCTTTGGATATCTTAATTTTCAACTTTAGAAAACTTATTAAAATTTCAGAATTTTCAACTTTATTTTTAAAAAATTTTAAATATTTGATTAAAAATTCTAAAATTAAATATTTGAGAACAAAGCAAGTATAATTAATAAAATATTATGATATTAAATTGCATAGTATTTAAATAAAATTAACAAAGGTAGATTAATTACTGTTTTAGTTCATAATTTAGACCATATATTACTACATTTCTATTCATCTTATATTCAAGTGTGTATTATAATAATAATAATCATTATTATTATATACACTTTTATATGTAATATATAAAAGTGATATGAATTATACATAAGCAATTTAGCCCAACATGCAGAAATTAAATAATGCACTCAAATCAAAATACATATTAAAATTTGCATAAGGGCCTTTCTTGCTGTGTTTAAATATAATGAGGTATTCAATATAGTGTTCCATTTTGACTCACATTAAAATATATATATATTTATTTATTTATTTATTTGAAAGATTATCAATATTTACATTAATACTGTAATTTTGTATGCAGTTATAGTTATTATTTGAATTTAATATAGATATGAACTTATTTAAGAACACAGAAATGTAGAAATATATTTCTCTTAAACAGTTGAGTGCATTGTATCAATGTAATATAAATCTTTTTATGTACCATAACTGATAAACTGCAATTAATCTCTCTTAATGAATGACATTTGGGAAGCTGAAAGACTGAGGTAATCATCAAATACAAAATTTAAAAAAAATTCAATATAAAACGAGTGATTTAGCAACATATATAAAACAAAGATATCATTTATGTATTTGGCAATTTGTTAAAGGCAATTTATGAGGCTTGAACATGCTATCAATCTCTCATTTTAACACAACACAAAACATTTTACATGGATCATCACAACATACAGTTTTAATTTAGTTTAAATTATTTCACATCTGGTCTTAAATATCAATTGTATCATTATTATATGACTATCCATTCATAGTTTTGTGTTCTTTATAAGTTCTTATCAGTGATATTTACATTATATTTTACACATTAGTCCCTTGTGCAGCAGTTGATGTAGTGATGTGAGTTGTATTTAGAGCTTCTCCTTCTTCAGATGCTTGCTTTTGTTTTTGTCTCCTATACAAATAAGATATTTTAAATAAAACAATATAAATTATTTTAAATGATAAGAATGTTGACTTAACTATGTATTTTAAACTTACCGTCGAATGTGAAGGATTATATACAATATAACAGCATTTCCTACTAATAGAGCTACTAATATAACTGTTGGAATTATGATATCTGAAATATTAAAAAAAATGTTTATATATAACAAAATACAACAGAAATAAAAATTTTGAAAGAAATCTATTCTGTGAAACAGATGTGCCATTCTGTCAATATTAAATCATGCATTAGAATAATAGCAGAAAATTAAAATAGAACTAAGCAATATATACAATGATATAATAATAAAATTTTAGCATCTAAAACTTTAAAAAAAATAAAAATAGTTATTGTTGTATTGTTATGGTATTTATGTATTTGTTTTGAAGTGTCAAATAATAAACTAAGTCATCTATACCACACAAATCAGAAAATGACAACAGGGTGATAAAATGGATGTTATTAAACAACTTTTCAAGATTTAAATCAACTTTAATTCTCACTGAAGTACTTTCAGTACTTGAATTAAAGTTATTTATATCTTAAAAAGTTGTTTAATAACACTTGTTTTTAACTCATCATTTTCTGATAAATATTAAAAATTTTTGAAATAAACTATCAATATTTCTGTTTTCTTTAAGATATTTGCTATATATGTATGTATGTAAAATGTTAAGAATTTGAAATTTATACATAGAAATTTTTTTAAATGATCTCTCTAAAAAATTCTTTTGAATCTGGCCTGTCACAACATATTCAAATCAAAGAAAAAATTTTCTATTTGCATTGTACTGTCATTTCTTTTGTCAAATCAAATATATTCATGTAATTATATTTTCTCTCCATCTCAGTTAAATGTAAATAAAATTACAATATACCATATTTCTGTGAAAGTATGTTCTTGTATGTTCTTATATGTACCAACTTGTTTTGGTTTGAACACTGTGCCACTGTGTCAATCAGTGGCACATTCAAGATTTAATCTTGGGGAAGTCAACTTGAATAGATAAAAAAAACTTTTAAAATGAATTCAATAAAATTTCCACCTTACATGACCACTAATTCATAAGTAATATAGAAATAGAACACACAACTCAATATAAAAAAAAAAAAAATGAATTTTAATAAGGAAAATATTTTTGGAAATTTACTACAATTTTTTTTCCGTTGGGCATTGCCAGGATCTCTTGGCCTACCCTCTGGATGCACCACTGGTGACAATGTAAAAAAAATGTAAATGTTCTGTTAAAGTAACTATTCGGTGACATTTTTGTGGTAACTATTATTAAGAATAAGAAATGGGGGGAAAAAACTTACTATTTTTAAAGAAAACATCCATAATAAGTATTTTAAGCACTTCATAGGATATATATAGTAACAATTTTTATCCATAAGAGCATGCTCTTGTATGCACAGAAATACAGTAATTATAAAAACAAAACAATGAAAATAATAATTATTAAATGTAAACATTAATAAAATTAATGTTACTATGTCAATAACTTTTGTTCATTTAGTGAAAACAGTTATGTGAAAAGTGAAAAACTTTTTGATGTATTTCATAATGAAAAAAAATATAAATTTTTTACAAATTTTGTTTTATTTAGTCTTTCATATATTTCAAAATTTTTAAAGTTTGTTTTGTTCATACAAAATCATTAAAATTTGCAAACTAAATTTAATATTCATTAGTTACATTAAATATGTAAAATTTATTCTCAACTGAAATCGAAATGTATGCCTATTCTTAATTATCTCATTAAGCATCATATACATGGCTATGTAGCCAGCCTCAATTTTGTGAATTTCAGACAGATATGTTGACACAGAAAGAGATAATTTCTCTTTATATATTATTCACATTAGTGTCATACCAATGTGAATAACATACAATAAATTATGAGTCCAGCACATAAATCAAACTTTGATTCCTTATAGTAATAGGCTGATGCTTTACCATGTGAATATCTAGTTGACTAAATATATTAAAACCACTTTTATTTTATTTTAAAATTTAATGTCTTAATGAATTGCCAAAATAATCTGCCTAATAATAAGTAAAGATTAGACATCATCTCTGCATTTCTCATCATTTGGAAATTGCATAATTTATTTTGATAGATTATTACTTTAGTTATTTCAATAGTATGTTACTACCACATAATGCCAAAATTTGTGTTCCTTTTCACTGTCACTCTTTTAATTTAATAAATGATCCTTTCATACATTTATTCTTAACTAAAAGATCTTTTAACAGAACTTAGAAAACTTTCAACTAGTCTTTGTTGAAAGTTTTCTGTCTAGATTTTTAATTTAGATTAAATATAGATGCTATATACTTAATAAAAAAATTAAAAACTCTTAAAACTTCATTATTTTTTATTGTTGTTATAAAGAAAAATCATTATAAATAAGTTATAACGTTTAATCTGAATTTCTGACAGGAACACATTGTCTGATAAAGCAGTTTTAATACAGGCAGATAAGCAAACCAATGACAGTTCATCTCATTTGAGACTGGTTATGTCATTGGTTTGCCTACAGATAATGCAACAAATTATTCTAATTTGTTTCATTATCTGTATGTATTTTGTAAGTAATTAAAGAAATGTTCCTGTCAACTTTTCATTCCAGCCAAAGTGTCTTATAAGATTATTTTGATATTCCATATTCATCAATTCATGTTGTTTATATTTCATAATTCTTTCTTATTTTATTTCATTAACTATTGTTAAATTTATATTTAAACTTATTATTTTATTAAAATGAATCCAATGTTCAAAAAATATCTTTACAAATTCAATTAATAAAATGAAATAAATAAAGTATAAAAAATCAAGTTCAATATGAAAGATACTATTAATCAATAAGAATCATATTCATATAAAATCCAAAAAAAATAAAGTACTACATTAAGTTATCAAGTAAACTGTTCAATAACAAACAATATTCTGTTTATATATTTTTTATTACAACTTTAATAAATTAACTTATTAAAATATTTATAATTTTTTTTATTTAATTAGAAAAAGTATTGATTTAAAGAAGAAGAATAAAATTAAACAAGTGGTAACAGAATTCAGTAGTTTACTTGATAATGTATAATTAAATATGAAAGAGACTAAACACAAAACTAACTCCATTTATTAAACTAAATATTTATTAAGTTAACTGCTTCTTTGATGTGATATAAACCCCAAAGAAGCAGTTAATAGATAATAACTACATTAGAATGATCTGGAAATATAAAATATTTTATTTAATACACTTCAGGTTATACATCCATCTAGTAGCAGTTTTCAATTTATAAAATCATCCTGGAAGTTATGTCAATTTTTGAGTGTTTTTGAAAAATTTGTTATGGAAAAAGAACATAAGAAAGATTCTCAAATATAAAATCCAATCAACAAGTACATTATAACTTAAAAATACATTCATAAAAACTTAAAATCTAGTTTTAGAATTTAATGACAAAAATTTGCTTTATTGGAGCTCTAGTAAAGCAGAAATTTTGTGGTTGTTTTTTTTTTTTAAGAAATTAGGGTGTGTTCATTATTTAAAAGTATAAATATTTTTTTTATAAGTTACAGGTTTATATGATTTCAATAGTTAAAACATTGGGAAGCTATTGAATATGAACAATCTGAAGGTGAATATTCTTATATGTAGGATAAGTTAAATTTTATATTTAATCTAGAATTTTTTATTTTTATTGAAATATTTATGAAATTATAATAACTGTAATGTTTCCATTTTATGGGGTGTTGCTTTTTGTAGTTGTTATGTATGTAAACCGCCAGGGGATGACCGCTACCGGGAATTGCCCCTTGACCTACTTAGGTCACCCCACACCTCCGACCTCGTGTATCTTCTTTGTCTCAACGAGTCGTCATTTAGCTGTTGTAACCCTTAGACCTGGACACGATGAAACGCTGTTTACTCATAGTTACATTTATGTTAATAAAGTTAGTTATATATGTTTACGAGTTATCGTTATTTTCACGAACATAACAGTAGTTAATCAATATTCTAGTTTGTAAACTTTAAATCTTATTATATATCAATATCAGAATTGTGATGTATTCGAAATATCAATAACTCTACACCTTCTATACTTTTCCAGCAATGTTTTAATCAAAACAAACATTTTTTACCCTGTTCAGAGTCTGCCTCAGATTAGAAAACATATACATTACAAAATTAAATAAAAGAACTGAGTTCTAATGGCAGAATTATAACAGCCTATTTTAAATCTACAACATTTGAAAATGAACGATTTACGTATTTCAAAATTTGACATATTAAAATGAAAATATAAAATAACATAAATTACACATGCTAATTGCTGAAAATTTGGGATATCCCACATACAACACAATTTCTGATATCACTCTAACACAGTTTGAGAATTTGAAAAATTCTCCATACAAAATTTCACAACTTTTAAATGCAAACTCCATTATTTTCTGGATTTTTTCAAGCACATAATGTGGGATGATTCAAAGCTTCTTTCTTATTGGCCAGGCTTAACTTAGGCCACTTTTCTGGCTATTGTTTTCCATTTGGCAGTATTGGAAAGATAATCAAGCTATATATTTGGAATTTTTTGGGGTGAAAAGAACATTTGTACTGTTGAAAAATGCCTTGTCATTACAAGAAGAAATCAAACAGATGTTCCTACAATCCAAAAACAATGATTGACATTGTATAATTTATTGTTGTATTTATCTTAATTTAGTAGTCTAGACTTAGATCAACATGCCCATGTCAAATGTGACAGCTTTGTTTCCTATGCTAACTTGTATTTTGAAGCACAAGCTTGTTACAGCAAACTTGCCAAAGATGGTTGTGGGCTGGACTAATTTAACTAAGCAATATATGTTGAGGTAAAATTATTTTCTTAGTGTTCCAATTGTACACAGAATTTAAGGAATAAAATTCATTATTGTACAATATCTTTGTAACCAATGAATGAATTCAATAAAATTTTCAGAGACAATTTTACATGTTAACTGTTGCTTGGAATTAATTGCTTCCAAAAGTGTATTAAAGTCAATGGCACTTTCAGGAACTATTGGAATTATTTGATTTGGGTTAAATCAAGCACCAAGGAGACTTGCAAAACAGATCCCAGT